ACAACCCTCACCCCACACCCTACACCCCTACTCTCCCACACCCCACACCCTTACACCCCTACACCTCTACTCTCCCACAACCCACACTCTTACACCCCTACGCCCCTACACCCCTACTCTCCCACAACCCACACCCTCTACACCCTACACCCCTACTCTCCCACAACAAACACCACACATCCATATACCCCTACACCCCTACTCTCCCACAATCCACTTCTCACACCCTACACCCATACTCTCCCACAACCCACACCGTCGACCCTACACCCTACACCCGTACTCTCCCACAACCCACAACCCACACCCCACACCCCACACCCTTACACCCCTACACCCCTACACCCCTACTCTACCACAACCACACCCCTTCAACTCTACTCTCCCACAACCCACACCCCTCACCCCTATAACTCTACTCTCCCACACCTAACACTCCCACACCCTACACCCCTACATCCCAACAACTCTACTCTCCTACACCTCACACTCCCACAACCTATACCCCACACCACTACACGCCTACTCGCCTACCTCGTGCAGTCAACTAAGAAACGTTTATTTTGGTTTGACTCGATACATGTAAATGTAAATGAAATTTCGATAGGTCATTTCCTAATCTAATTTCTTATATTCTGTCATATTGACATTGTTTTATTTACCCAGTCAGCCAACTTCTTTCTTTTTTCTTTCCATCTGTGACAAATATTTTACATCAGAACTACACTGCCATGCACGTGCTGCACGTGCAGTACATGCAGATATGAAAACATGCATAGTAATACATAAAATGTAATAAATAATTAAGATCACCTAATTTCCAAATTTGAAACGCGATTTTAATGTAATTCATGTACTCCAACCTAGAGGATGGATGCATGCATCGAATACAGTAACCAGAGAGGAATTCGATTTAATATCTGACACCAAGCACGTGACCAATATGACGTCATTGTAATGGAAACTAGCGAAAATAAATATTCAAGTTAACAGCACCATTAAATACAACTTTAGAGTTAGATACAGCAGAGGCAAACAGTGAATTTAACTACATCATACAGCTGTTTCGTCCTTCTAGGACTCGCCAGTGATGTTACATCATACAGCTGTTTCGTCCTTCTAGGACTCGCCATTGATGCTACATCATACAGATATTTCGTCCTTCTAGGACTCGCCAGTGATGTCACATCATACAGCTGTTTCGTCCTTCTAGGACTCGCCAATGATGTTACTATATACAGATGTTTCGTCCTTCTAGGACTCGCCAGTGATGTTACATCATACAGCTGTTTCGTCATTTTAGGACTCGTCAGTAATGTTACATCATACAGCTGTTTCGTCCTTTTAGGACTCGTCAGTGATGTTACATCATACAGCTGTTTCGTCCTTTTAGGACTCGTCAGTAATGTTACATCATACAGCTTGATGTTAAGGGCCTAAATATTTGAGGCGACTGGATATCAAAGGGGATCGAAAGAAAAGTCGAAATCAAGATTTGGATGTACACTTACCCAATAATTCAATAAATTTCGCAATTTTCATATATGTGATAATATAAGAACCAAGTCAAGTACACGTGTATATTCTGAACCATTTCACTATTCGAACAATTTGAAACGTAGCATACAGATAACGGCAAACCTCGGGTTGTTACTACTTGAATTATGAACAAATTGTGTATAGAATGTGAATATAAGTATTGATCTGGCAATTATAACAGTAATAAATGACAGAGTTTGCTGGAATGATATTCACAATTTTACATACATGTATATATCATTTTTTTTATGTTTCGCTGATGAATACATGTGTAACCCTAGTAAATACCTGCTGCATAAACCGCTCTGCTAGAGAGCCTCTGCCTAGCTCCATCACTAGAAAGCCAGACGTCCGGGTTCGAATTTTAGCGGAGCCACAAGATATGTAGACAGTAATAAAAGACAAGTGTTTGTCTCTCTGACAAAAATTAAAAGTTCAGATAATAGAAATGAAGCTAACTTCCAACAATTCATAATAAGTGTTTGATGCTCGTTAGTCTGCCTGTTCGTTCCGTTGTTGTGTTGTATCTTTTTTTTTATTTGAGAACGTTACATTAATTACTTAGATTGACCAAGATTTACATGGTGGGTGTCGTCGATGAAGCAGAAGACATTACTCTTGGTCTTTTTTCTCCTTCCACTTTTTCAGGAGTCTCTTTCTTTTGCCCTGGTCTTGTTAAATTTGAGTTTGGATTATGATTATGTTGACATGTTTATATTTTCTTGATAATTTCTATATTGATGCCATGTCAAAACAAACAATGAATACACACGTGTGCACGGTCCTATAATTCCCCATGTAGGTAAACATCTTCATAATGAATACGTTTTTAAAGAACAAGAAATCCATTGATCATGCCCATTGTATAACCATCATAACTGGAAATCAATGACAAGCCTAAAACGAACCTAGTAGGGGCAGCGTATCGATTTTCCCTGTTGTGAACTTTCCATTTCTAGAAGTTTAGACCCGCTTTCTCAATCTATGACACTTAAATGTCAGAGGTGATTCGAAATTCAGGGGCTTGTTCATAGCACCGTAAAAACCCGTGTACTGTGCGCAGGTACTTTTTGGGGTTGAAAATAGTAAAAACAAAATGATAAACTTGCATCACAGAGTTTCGAAAGATGAAAGATGATGATGGTTGGGAAGAAGGCTATGCAGTAGTCACTATGATCTCATTGGAAAATATATTTTCTCGGGCGATACGAACTTGAACGTGTTAAGAGGCTGGCAGTTAAATTGTTGGCATTCTTGGAATAACCAAGAAATAGTAGCCTTATTCTCGTTGTACATTTTCAGGAGTCTCCGTGTAAATCTTTCTTTTGTTCATCAAATTTGGGTTTGAATCAAGGTTTCCTCTTAATATACTATGTTGCTATTTCTCTCGACCATAAAAGCTAACTTCGATAATTAGGTACAACTGTTAGGCTATATGTCAATATTCACAGATACATCTTTTTCCATTTTCTTTCAGTTTTACATAGAATATCCTCCTTTAATCTTAATAACTCTTAACTCCCAAAACTTTTCCCTAATATGTTAACGGTATATCATTTCTAACTAACTCCTCAATTTCAAGTATTTCAATAGTTTAGACTATCTTGTAGTCAATGAGAAACATATATACTTATAACGCACATTTTTACTAACTATACCGTGTGTTGTGCTAAAGGTTACTCTGTGGAGGAACGCCTTACATTTATATAACATTTGGTTGTTTACTTCTTCATTCATATTTTCTTTATACTTCGTTCCTGACGCTGATAAAAAACTCTGCCTGAAACAAAAGGTAGATATGATGATAAAAATATTAGCATGAATTCAAATATAGATTTTATTCCATGGCACCTGACAAAAGTAACAAGCAGTTATACGAGGGCTGATTGGTAAGTTGTAAGCCTCATATTTAAGGGGTTTTGGCGGATATACTCCATTATCTTTCAACATAATTCCCTCTAGAATATATACGTCTTTACCAAAGACGTTTAAGGGCCTCAATGCCACTTGTAATGTAGTCCTTTTTTTGACCGTTCAGAAAGTCCTCCATTGCATGTATGACGTCATCATCTAACCGAAAGTTGACCGGAAATGGACTATTTAATTTCGGAAATAGATGAAAGTCTGACCGAGCCAGATCCATCAAAACTACAATCGTTGAGGGCAGTCATGGCAATTACATACTTATGAACAGGGGTATTGTCCTGGTGGAGAAACACACCTTTGCTGAGTTTTCGCGACGCTTGAATTCAATATTTTCTCTTAACTGCCGAAGAAATGATGTAAAACGTGTGCCTTTGATTGTTTTTGCAGATAATCTACCATCTGAATACCTTATTTGGCGGTGATGAACCAGGGTGCTTCCATTGTTGTTTGACCTCTGTGGTGAAATGATGGATCCACTTTTCATCCCTAGTCACAAACCACTGCTGGAAGAGAGTCTGGCATGTTTCTGATCAACTGTCTGAAATACCCAACGGGCGGCTAAGAGCATTCTCATTGCAATATCCTTCATAAGAATGGGATATACTGTTTCGTGTGAAATCTCAACTGTACTGGCTTAATATCTCTTTGTAACTCGCCTGTAAGCCATAACAATATCATGGACTTTATTTACCATTTTATGGGGTTAAAACTAGGGCAGACCTTCCAGGACGGGTGTCATCCCGAAGGCTCTGTGTGCTACGCTTAAATTCCGGCGCCTACCTTTTCAGCCTTAGATAGTTAGGGAATGGTAGAGATGAAAATGGACATGCCAGTTTAATTTCCTCAATACAATGTTCACAACTTAACAATCAGCCCTCGTATGTTATCTATTTTTGTAATACCAAAGAGTAACAGCTTTATGTTTACTAAAGAGTAACAGTTATACTGATGATCTGAGGAAAATAGAAATAGATTCACTGGTGTCTCAGTGAGTGTATAATAGCATGGATTACACAGAAACACAGCCCGCCCTTTTAATTAAAATCTACTTAAAACGTGGTAAAGGTTCAAATGTGTATCGATAATGGGTCCCATTCAATATTCATTAACTGAATGTAGGGGGCGTGGTGAAATGACATGGCACGCGCTATATGTCGATCGGATCTGTCATCCACAAGAGATCACAGATTGTAAGTGGTCCGGGTTGGTCGGATGAATAAAGAAGCGCTCTGATTGGTCAACAGAATGTCCCATGGCCTCGTGCCGTGAAATTGACACACTTTGTAATTCTTAATGTTATGATATTTAATTCAATAACATATCCCACCTGTGTAGCTTTGTACCTGTCATTATAACGGTTACAGCCAGTACAAGCACACGCGGGTTACATTCCACACGTGCACACGTTTCCAACATATACTTCACAGTATTATGGAATAAACTGACACAAAGTTAGCATATCTCATTGAGACAACCATTCGTTGAATCGACGAGGAAGACAGCACGTGCAAGATAACTCTTAATATTTTTTGAAAATGGATTTATGCGTAAGAAGAAAATCTGCATATGACATTGAGAGTTTGATAGGGAAGAACAAGAAAGAGAAACCAAAAAATGGTAAGTGTTTATTCATCTACCTATTTATTATTCTATAATCTGGTTTTATACAATAAGACCAGGCGATGGAAAATTCATTTAACTGGACATCATGATTTGTAGAATATACGTTAATCGTAACAGATAAATGTACTTAACAGTATGACAATATTACAGTTAATTTCATAACTTCATAAAAAAAGTATATTTAAAGATTTTTTTAACTATATCACTAAACATATCTTATTTGATTGGTATAAAGCACATTGAACACGTGTATAATGCTGGGAACATACTCATTATATTTAGTTAATTATCATCTCCAATAACTTTAAAATTAATTTATCACTGAAATATGTTATTTTTCATGAATATCCCGCACAAAACTTTACAAGTAACACATCAAAATCAAAAATCAATATCAGCTGAACTAGATATTTGCAAAATTTGTAAACTTTGCAAAAAGTACACCAAAATCCACTATTAATAGCAATCAACTGAACTAGATGTTTGCAAAATTATGTCAAATTTCCTGTATGAATAACTATTGCAACATCTTAAATACCATACATAAGAATCACAATTTGATATTTCTGAATCAAACTCTACAAACGTATTTTAAACTTCCTTCATAAATAATTAGACTAAGTGTAAACCCTTACAAACAACACATAAAATACTTTTTTAAATGTTTAACTGTCGTGAAAGTTACTAAATCTCAAATTAATATTTAAAAAATGATAACCGATGACATGCGTATACATTGTGTATAGATTTGTTATATTTATGAATATCACTTGTGAAAAATTTAAAGAAATCACCTTGAACCTGAAATCCTTTGGAAAAGACTACATGTCCTGTAAATATATCCGTTCTTTTAAAATCGATTAAAGTGTTTCAGGTAGAATGTTTTGTGTTTCATTGTAAAAATCATTCTATTTAACTTAATTCCAACTTTCCACACCTGTTCATACAATTCATCCTTGTCATGATGTAGTCAGTAAATCACGTCATTATCAAATGTTTTATTTATTTTAAATATTGACAAAACTGGCGTATATCGCAGACAGCTTCAGAAATGTGAACACAGTCGAGAAAACAACATAATATGCCAAGTAAACACTCATACTAGAGGGAGGGGCTTCTCTGTCCGGCGTCAATTCATTCTTCAAGAGGGCTGTGATTCGAGATAAACCGGTTATAAACTAAAAATAGAAAAATACCTAAATTTAACAGTAAACAGTTTATTCGTTTAAATTTTTGCTTCAATTAGGGCATAAATAGTGACACACGAAATTAGCCGTCGTTTTGAAGTCATATCAAAGACTGTAAGGATGTCTGTGATAAGAAAACTCTGGTAAACAAAAACAAGAATGTTTATAGGTATAACAAACATTTATTTCTATATGGTAGCTGCGATACAGATTTGCATTCATACATTTTTATGTGGTGTTTTAAAAATAATATCGGTTTTGTTCCTAAGTGATATTTTGTATGGTGTAAATGTAAATAATGTGGATGTTTGCTCTATTTTCGTTTTCTTGTATTCGTCGGTGTTCGTTTCATTTCATGTTGCGAAATCGTAATATTTCATATTTGTAAGCATGATAACTATCATATTACTAGCTTACTGGATTTATATACTTATTTTCACATTTGATTATTTTCTATTTATCATTTCTTTGATCTTTATTGCATTTTTCACGCAAAGTGTTATCACTTCCATATACTTTCATTGTGTAAGGATAACATAGATTACATCAAAATCTCTTTTTTGTTTTGTGTTTACATGTTACGATAAGTATAAATAAGTATACATATGCTTAATATCGAGTAGAACTCACAAATGTGAAAATCTGTAACAAATAAATTATATGGCACAATTTACAATACATTAATTACATTTTATACGCAATTAATAATGAAATCATGTACGTTTACAGGCCTGTCAACAACAGTAAACAAGCATTCGTGATACATGTAGCCGTACGTTTGAGCGATGATAAAAATAAAACATGTGATACATTGTAGTATACTCATCATCAATATCTACATACTTACTGTGTTAGAAAGCTGAAAAACCATAAAAATAACATTACTGAGTAGGAAACTGGCATTGAAAGAAACCGAAGGAAAAAAAAGAAAGAAGAAAACTATTTTTCGTTATTGATATTTACAGATTGTTAAAGTAATGTAAACAATGGGTTTTCTTAATTATTTTACCCTTTAGTTACTTTGCTTGATTTATTAAAATACACTTATTTACATTCCATATGTCTTGCTAGTCTTAAGGAGAGGGGCGTATCTATATATACGGCATCACACCTGATGTAATATAAGTTTTTATATGATATTAAATTGGTGAGTTTTTCATCGGTCAACGTTTTACATATCATATCTATTAAATAGTATGCATGTACGGATTTGATATTACTTTTTTGACAATTTAATGGTATTCCAGTTTAAATGTATTGTATATCAATGATATATCTTGAAACAGATCCATATATCTATATATGTATATATTACAACGGTCATTAATTTATCATTACTGAGGCTGGCAAGTCGCCTACCATTCTATCATATCTATAATGTCGATAAGTAATTTTACATACATTCATAATTTGTTTAAGGCCATGAAATGGACATCGCCATCACTAACTTATGAATAGGTATAACCCTCTCTTTGAAGTGCTAAATGTCCCGCATTTTCATTCTCCTAACTTAATTGTGTATCATAAATACATGATCGATCTTTCAACAATAAGTATTATCTAGATTTTATTACATAACAAACACCAACGGTTAAAGGCAAACACTTGGTATAATTACCGTCTATTAAGTTAGAGAGAATATTAAGCTTAAGAAATAAAGAACAGAAAAATATTGATTAGTGAAATTCCTCTTGTTAACCGATTTGTTTAACCTGTAATTAGTCGTTGTAGCGTACTCTTTATATATACGTGATAACAAGCTTGGAATCGAAAAATATTCGATTATTTTATTAAGAAGAAATATAATGAATAAAACATTATATAACGATCAGCAAATATTTGTTTTATTTTCTTATAGCAAACATTGTTTATACGGTATACACTTTAACCGGTTAATTAAGCATATCACACATATACTTTCGTGTATATAGATATCGATGTTGTTTCGGAATTATCTAACAGCCGAAAATTTCCAAATAGATATAATTTTGGGTTTATGCATAAAAGTTTTAACGCTTAAACATTTAAGGTCAGTTTTAATGGTACCTTGGCCCAGGTAGAAAGTGTACTACCGCTTGGGATTAAGTAGACGATTGCGCCGTTTTCACCTTAAATGTCACTTACTCTGATTTTGGATTTCCACACTGAAGAGTTCTAAAAGGAACAAGAACTCCAGTATGATAACGTGTAATTATTTACTTGACATGATTTTTATACTTCTAAAGTAGAAATTGCTCATCTTTTGTGTAATGATTAACAATCTTTATTACAAATTTAGTATTAGACAGTGTATATACAACCGTATCCTCTTATAGTATCCAACAGAATGCAACTTTCATTAGAACAGATGTTTTATAAAAATCTGACGACCGACACAAGAGTATCAGTTTAACAGGGATCCGGATATGGCCTTATCCAATATTCTACCTGATTTTGGAGTTATTTATCCAACGGAATGCATCTTCAGATTTATGTATCATTGTTTTTAGGCTTCTTAGTTCATATTGTAGGTACTCATTAATCTTCATTACTAATTAAATATATATAATAACTTTGCATTTTCCCTATTCGTCAGTCGCAATCTGTAACTTATTTTCACAATTTCGGAGCCTAGCATATTTGATCTCTTAGTATGATGTAAATACACGTTTCAATTTAACAGGGAAAGTTATATACTTACACAAAATTGCAAGGTTAGGAAAATATATTTCTGAAAGCTAAATGCCAGTAAAATAAGAACATTAATGCGATGTCATAATTTCAGAAGAATTTATTTTTGTTTTGTTTAATATATTATAAGGTAGAAACGCGTGAATTATTACATAATTATACTGATTTAGCTGATGATAAAACAACAGCGTGTTTATCAATGTTATAGAAACACGCTGCATTGTGAATGAAATAACTGGATTACGCTTGTGTATATCAATAATGATTAGAAATATAGTACCGCGCCAGTTCAATATGTCTGATTTTGTGTTGTGTTATGTCGTATCAAATGTCATGTATCGATATCAGCTTACACTAGTAAATACCATATATTATTTATATATTACTGAAAACTCTGTCAAAAATGAATGATTTATCAGTATCCCGTAACTTCTTTAATTGATTAAACATATCAAATTCTGTTTAAATCGACAACACATCACATATATATGAACACGAATATTTCCCGATAAGAACATGATCAAAACTAACGGTATTTCTCTTATTGTTAAGACAATGATTATAATGACATTAAAGATTTGCAATAGGCGTTTCAGCTATTACAAGTGTTTCATTATAAGTATAGGGCATATAACATAAGAAAGTAGCAGAACAGACCAATTGTGTTGCCATTTTTTCGTCAGATTTAATTTTAAAAATGACTGGTTTAATTTTAAACATAAGTAATGATTTAAAATGTCTTTAACATTATACTTTTGGAACACCTGGTCTTAATATTCTAGTATTTTTTCCAGAGTTTTCATGTAAATCATTACTTTATTTCTAGTGAGTGTAGCTACGCATGGGCCCCATTAAGATAACACATGCGAGGAAAAAACGGTGTAATAATTATCAAAACTTACATTCATAAAGCAATGACGCGAAATTGCGGATAGCAACATGGCAGATATATAAACAAATAGTCTCGTTCGCCGAGATTCTTCATCACGTTCGTAGACAACAAGAGTCTGGGTAAACCAGACTAAGTAATTAGTATCTTACCTGTCGAGATTGTCTGAAAAATAAACTAGGAAAAACGAAACATCAACACAAACTAGTCAGTAACACAATTAATACAATATTCAAGGAAGAAAGAGTTCCTTAAACTTTAGGTAAAATGATTTAGTCGCCAAATATTTTGTGACGTTTGTTTACTTAAGGAAATACATCAGTGATAACGCTACTATCATAATTCAATATATTTGGTCCTAATTTCATAGAATTTGAGTTTACATTTATCTGTAGACATGTCGATGTCTTCTTTGTTGTTTGAATAGTGGCAAAAAAATGTTTACTTGTCGTTACAGAAATTCCTCTCGAAAATCAGGAACGTAATTTGGGAGCCAGTATGACGTCACTCACATATGAGATTGACACGCCACCTGGTGACGATAAAGGGCTACCACGTGCAGTGATTTCACCCCTGAAAATCCCTTGTCCGACCACTGCCAAATGTTTAGCAGAATTCACTAATGAAGAACGGAATGATTTTAGTCCTGACAATAATGACACGAAAAGCATCACCTCTGCGTCTGATGACGTCACCAGCGCGGACGGCGCAGAACCAGACCGAATAATTCAGTCTTACAGCATGTTAGGGGAACTCAGTCGGCGAAACAGCTATCATGGCGGCCATGGAACTTCGGGTATGGATGATCGCGAAATTGAGGATTATGGGAAAAGAAAACAAAGGCGATATAGAACCACATTTACAAGTTTTCAGCTGGAGGAACTCGAAAGAGCATTCCAGAAAACACATTACCCGGATGTGTTTATGAGGTATGTCAATACAATGTTTCCTATCTATGGCCATGGTTGTCTTTGAAAGTACACCTTTGTGCAACTTCAATTTGTTTATGGCTATTTTTCATGAATTATTAGTTTTTGAAAACTTAATGTTTTCATAAAAAATGTTGAGAGAGAGATTCTCTCTTACCTCAACATAGACCCTGATTTTAACGTTTCTGTTATAGAGAGGAGTTGGCAATGAGGATAGATCTCACAGAAGCTAGAGTACAGGTAAGTTGCACCATTTAGTACAGGTCGTTACAAGTTCTGACAGAAATAAAGAATAACTTGAAATACTGTAATTGTATTTAATCTAAGAATTGAAAAACGAATGAATATCTTTATTGACGTGTGATTTATTGACAAGTTAACAAAACAGAAATTTCGTAAACGAGTTTTTAAGAAGGTGAACGGTTGAATGTTCACCAGGAAGTACGGTTTAGACATATATGATATAAAATAGTGCGCATAAAAGCATTCTACGATGTTTCTTGCGTTAAGAATAGAGATTAACACATAGCGTTTATACCAAGCGTTTGAGATTTGACCTCGTCCATATTTCCAAAACAAATAATACATCTTGAGGTGGACGACAGAATGCCCTCTTACTCGAATTATAAATTTCTTTCAATAATAACATTGTTTATAAAATTTAATAGGACTCGAGGCTTTCAAATTTTGATATCTGTTCATAAAAAACAGTCGACGATCTCTTGAAATATATCACTTGGGTCGTACCCATTACTTATAAAATTAACAAGAAATAATCCCCAAGGATTACATTAATGCTGATGGGTTCTCCTGAAAATTTCAGGTAGGATTGGTATAACGCCGGTAATTTCTCGTGAAATGGTCAGGTGAAAATAACCCATACTGACTGCGATTCTCGTGAGAAGGTGTAACGAAATGAGCGAGGCAATGTTTACATAGGAATGATTGAGAAAAGAGTTCTTTTTCTTGTTTTGAACTAATTGAAGTTATTTTTTCAACTCCTGATTTCGGTTTTTGGTGTCTAGACACTTTATTTTCAAGAAAATAATATTTTCGATTTTATAATTATGCCTAAATTGTTTTTTTTTTTTTCTTTCTTTTTTTTCAACTTCGCTGTCGTGGTTGATCGTAAATTTGAATCTGCTAACACTACTCCGTATTGTTGCTATTGGTCTTAAACAAGAACAAAACATTTAGTTTTAATCAAATTCTTAAAAAAATGCTTGAAATAAAAAAAATGTAAGGACAAAATCTATATCGAATTCGTAAATAAACGTAACTGGGATTAAGGTAAGATCCATCTGATCAAATACATAGCGAAGTTTATCATCCAGGCTGACCGTAATCTTTTAAAACCAATCCGTCATTAGTAGGATATTTGATAGCTTGAGCTCGTAGGGTTTGTTTGTGCGGTAGCTCGCCGACTCGAGTGGAAGATTGGTATCGTGTGCACAGCCCGACTTCAGGATCAGTGTTTTATTTGATCAGACACGTTAAGATCAATAGAATCGCGTACACATCTCGCTGTCGCGATAACTGTTAACAACACTCGTGTAAAATTGCTAGCCACTTCAACTCCTTGAAAGATACTTGAAAAAATTAGATATTTATCAATGGTTACTAATTGGGTGTAATTGTGGTGTTTTATGATCGCGGCAAGGAAAGCGATGAGACATTACAACGACTGAACAAACATGTCATATTCTACTTTAAATATGCTAATGAGTAATATAATATATTCGGCTTGTCAAATTAAAAATGACTTGGTGATTTTGTCAAATTCAAATGCAAACATTTAGTTTTTATAACAATAGAGAATTTGAATAAAATTTGGTACCAGTATGTATAGATGTGTCAACGCAAAACTGTGAGTAGTTAATTATTAACCGGTGGGTAGTTTAAATACGTGTTGTAGTTTAAAGAAATTAAATAAAATGTAAAAAAAAAGACGCTTCCCTCCCAGCAAATACTACAGAATTATTCTTCAAACACTCTAGAATACTCAATGAAATTAACATCAAACAGGATAATATCACACGAGATAAATTTTGCGAAATTGTAGAATAAGTCATTAAACAATTACGCTTAAATAGTATTTTTGGTTTTTGTTTGTTTGGGGTTTTTTTTAACTATTTGATTTGGGTTTTTTTGGTTAACTTTAATACGTAAATTTGAAGCCGAACTCTTTTTGTATTTGCAGGTTTGGTTTCAAAATAGACGCGCAAAATGGCGAAAGAAGGAGAAAGTTGGTCCACAAGGGCATCCATTCAGTCCATATGGAGGTTACACGAATCCTTCAACGTTGTCGCCGCGGACACTGGTTTCACCCCAGCAGAGTTACACCGAATTGCTCATGAGGGCGTATGAATCACAGCTTTACCATAGAAACGATGGTCATTTCGCTTTTCCTTCCAGCGCACGTAACATCTGCGCTGCGCCATCCTTGTCACCACCTGGATTATATAATGTAGCTTTCCGTGGAGTGATGTACCCGAACGCAAAAACTACAACAATTCCTTCACCTACAATGTCCTTTCAACAGATGTTTGCTCAAATGACTTCCCAGAATTCCAAAGCACGTGACACAATAACACTTCCTGTTGAACACAGCATTGTTGATGGGGATCAAAGAACATCGAGTATCGTGGCTTTACGGAAGAAAGCGCGCGAGCACGAGGTGAGAATTGGCGTCGAGGGCCAAGGAAGTGCATCTTAACTTTAAAGTAGGATATTTTCCGGATTATATTTGCCTGACAATGTTTTCTTGTCTGTTTTTTTCATTTTTTATAAGCCTGTGATTTCTTAGATTTATCAGTTTAATGTATATGACAATATTTTCCTATGATTGCATATCTACATACAAGATATCTCCTTCTGTTTTCGTTCAAAGGATATTTTAAACTCATACTAGATATTTGATTCGCAAAACAGTTCCAGAAGAATTAGAATATTTAAAATCGTAAATCGTAAAATCGTACGAAACTTTAAGAAATGAGAAGCTTCAGAAGCCACGCAAAGATTTCCAACAAAGACGTTTTTACTAGAAACGCGTTGAACTGATAATTTACCATAAGTAACGTTCGAATGTTTGAATATTAAAGTGATAAATATAACCTATGATGTAGATTGGTGTTCAATTCAGAAATTAAGGACTCGCTGACCTGTGAAAATACTAGTCGTATCCCTACCGAATCTTATACCACTATAGTAATTTTTAATCTATTACTGTGCCATGTATGTTATTGATTTTTATATTGTAATTTATTTAAGTATGATAATCATACGTTTCGTTTATAATCATATCATACACAGTGTGATGGTTATTTACCTAGCAACGGTCCTTCCATGACCGGAAGCGCTAGAGACACTCTAAGTGATGGCCGGAGTTCCGGAACAACACATTTTGATTTTGTCGTTTTTAATGGTATTTGCTGATCAAATAAACTCAGTAACAGTGCAATAAATTAATATTTGAATAGCTTTTTTTATATTTATTACCGTATTTATTTAAAAGAGTGTAACGACCTCATGGTGAATTGCTAAATAAACACTAAACTGATACCATGTATCGTTTTTTTTATCTATACCCGATGAAGGAGTTTTGTGTTTGTCAACACATTGTCAAATAATATACAGACAATGCAACATAAAATGTAGTTAACGCGTTATATGGACAAACAACATACAGAAAACACGGCACACTGATAAACATACAATTAATTCCACACAAGGACGAAAGACATACAGAAAACACAGCACACTGATAAACATGCAATCAATTCAAAACAAGGACAAAAGACATACAGAAAACACAACACCTGGACAAACAACATGCAGAACACAAAGGACAAAAGACATACAGAAAACACAACACATGGACAAACAACATGCAGAACACAAAGGACAAAAGACATACAGAAAACACAACACATAGACAAACAACATGCAGAACACAAAGGAAAACACAACACAGACATGCAGAACACAAAGAAAACACAGAAAACACAACACATGGACAAACATCATGCAGAACACAAAGGACAAAAGACATACAGAAAACACAACACCTGGAAAAAAACATGCAGAACACAAAGGACAAAAGACACAGAAAACACAACACATGGACAAACATCATGCAGAACACAAAGGACAAAAGACATACAGAAAACACAACACATGGACAAACATCATGCAGAACACAAAGGACAAAAGACATACAGAAAACACAACACATGGACAAACATCATGCAGAACACAAAGGACAAAAGACATACAGAAAACACAACACATGGACAAACATCATGCAGAACACAAAGGACAAAAGACATACAGAAAACACAACACATAGACAAACATCATGCAGAACACAAAGGACAAAAGACATACAGAAAACACAACACATGGACAAACATCATGCAGAACACAAAGGACAAAAGACATACAGAAAACACAACACCTGGACAAACAACATGCAGAACACAAAGGACAAAAGACATACAGAAAACACAACACATGGACAAACATCATGCAGAACACAAAGGACAAAAGACATACAGAATACACAACACCTGGACAAACATCATGCAGACTCTTGGACATTCAGTGAATACAGCACAGGGAAAACAATAAACGAGGACGACAACACAAAGGCTTTTGAAACACGACACACGACCTCACCAAAGTGATCCTATACCTCAAGTATGAAGTTCGAGTATTAAGTAGGTCAGGTAATAAATCATAAACAAATCCTTTCTATAATATAGGTCATAGGTCAAAGTTTATGTCACAGTGACCAACTTTTGATACGGGACGCATCGCCTCTCCAAGATGAGCCAATACCCCAAGGTTAAAGTTCCAGTGAATAATAGTATTGGAGAAAATTCCCAGAAAATAATTTTCTTTGGTATTGGTCAAATGTCAGAATGTAGGCCAGAGTGGCCCTTTTTGATTCCAAGTTTTATAGTTGTAGTGACAAGTAGTGTAACGGAAGGACAGACGGACATAACACAAAACTGTAGTTCCCCTCGATTCCCGAAAGGGGACTTATAACACAACGAATAAATCAGACAAGACGATGTCTCTGGATAATACGACCACTGACGAACGTGTTTATAGTTTCATCACACTGAACTGTCATTAAACCAAATGATCGTTCCGGGGAAACGTGGCTATTTATTTTAGCATTCTACTAGTATGTATAAAGGAATTTCAAATTGCCTTGAAATATGATCCCTGTCGAAACCAAATTTTCTAATAATCATTGTAGATAATTTCATCGAATGTCTAACAGAGCCTTATTAAGGAGAGTTCCAATAACTCGAAAAAATTTCAGAAAACATAAGGCAAGGAACCGTATTGCAAAAAAGTATGTAATGCACATTTCTTATAAAAAAACGAATTTCCGGGATACATTTCAGGTGTTTAAATGGGTATATTTAGTATGAATCCGGAGGACTTAATGTTTGGCACGTGGGCACGCGCTCTCAGTATAACGTCGAAATCATTAAGTGCCGTCTGTGTGTGATAATGAGCTAATGATTTAAGCTTCATTTATAATGTATAGTTATTTGTCCATACTCTAATTTCCGACGTGTATGTCTAAATATTGTAACAACGGCTGTTCTTTTAGCCACCCTCCGGCACTGCCGGTAATTGACTTATACATTTATTGATATGATTATTAAAGACATTTTCCACATATTCACCTGCCGTCCAGTAATTGAATGGATAGAATTAATGACTCCTCGTAGCATTCCCTTTAATTATTCATCAGAAATCACACTGGCCATCAATTTATTTCGATTCACCGTCTCTCTATCTCTCTCTTTAAAAACTCGTGTCGTAGGTTGGGATGTAACAGCTAGCACGATTATACAAATGACACATACCATGCACGCAATTTTACAAGCTGTATGCTTTATATTGAATCCTTCTCATCAATGACGATAGCGCCCGATATCCATCCAAGTCTCCTTAGTGATGGTACAGCCCGGTACCCTTCTATGTCCCCTCAGTGATGATATAACCCGGTATCCTTCTATGTCTCCTCAGTGATGGTATGGCCCGGTACCCTTCTATGTCCCCTCAGTGATGGTATAACCCGGTACCCTTCTATGTCTCCTCAGTGATGGTACAGCCCGGTACCCTTCTATGTCCCCTCAGTGATGGTATAACCCGGTACCCTTCTATGTCTCCTCAGTGATGGTATAGCCCGGTACCCTTCTATGTCTCCTCAGTGATGGTATAGCCCGGTACCCTTCTATGTCTCCTCAGTGATGGTACAGCCCGGTACCCTTCTATGTCTCCTCAGTGATGGTATAGCCCGGTACCCTTCTATGTCTCCTCAGTGATGGTATAGCCCGGTACCCTCAGTGATGGTATAGCCCGGTACCCTTCTATGTCCCTTAAGTGATGGTACGGCTCGGTACCCTTCTATGTCTTCTCAGTGATGGTATAACCCGGTACCCTTCTATGTCTCCTCAGGGATGTACAGCCCGGTACCCTTCTATGTCTCCTCAGTGACCGTATAGCCCGGTACCCTTCTATGTCTCCTCAGTGATGGTGTAACCTGGTACCCTTCTATGTCCCCTCAGTGAGGGTATAACCTGGTACCCTTCTATGTCTCCTCAGTGACCGTATAGCCCGGTACCCTTCTATGTCTCCTCAGTGATGGTACAACCCGGTACCCTTCTATGTCTCCTCAGTGATGGTATAGCCCGGTACCCTTCTATGTCCCCTCAGTGATGGTACGGCCCGGTACCCTTCTATGTCCCCTCAGTGATGGTACGGCTCGGTACCCTTCTATGTCTTCTCAGTGATGGTACAGCCCGGTACCGTTCTATGTCCCCTCAGTGACCGTATAGCCCGGTACCCTTCTATGTCCCCTCAGTGATGGTACAGCCCGGTACCGTTCTATGTCCCCTCAGTGATGGTATAGCCCGGTACCCTTCTATGTCCCCTCAGTGATGGTATAGCCCGGTATTCTTCTATGTCTCCTCAGTGATGATACAGCCCGGTACCCTTCTTTGTCTCCTCAGTGATGGTATAGCCCGGTACCCTTCTATGTCTCCTCAGTGACCGTATAGCCCGGTACCCTTCTATGTCCCCTCAGTGATGGTATAGCCCGGTACTCTTCTATGTCCCCTCAGTGATGGTATAGCCCGGTACTCTTCTATGTCCCCTCAGTGATGGTATAGCCCGGTACCCTTCTATGTCCCCTCAGTGATGGTATAGCCCGGTACCCTTCTATGTCCCCTCAGTGATGGTATAGCCCGGTACTCTTCTATGTCCCCTCAGTGACGGTACAGCCCGGTACCCTTCTATGTCCCCTCAATGATGGTATAGCCCAATATCCTTACAGGCCCCGTCAGTGATGTAGAACTCAACATAGACAACTACTAGCTAAACAGATTTTTTATATTGTTTTTAATTTACTTTTTTAAACATTTTCAAATATTACGGTAATTACATTGTACAACGTGTATTCAACGTATTCAACTGTCATGTTAATATCACTGAAGATCCTAGGCTGATCACGAAGTTAAACAGATTTTTTATATTGTTTTTAATTTACTTTTTTAAACATTTTCAGATATTACGGTAATTACATTGTACAACGTGTATTCAACGTATTCAACTGTCATGTTAATATCACTTAGGCTGATCACGCCCCTCCTTACAAAACCGAGGATTTCTTCTTCAACATCTGTTGCCCAC